TATATATATAAATATATAATATAAAAATATACCCCAAACAACAAAGTGCTATCTACTTGATTAAAGGGGGAAAAAAAAAATTAAAAATCCTGGTCTCCTATATACAAGTTTATCTGTAAAGGGTTTTCTTCAGTTTAAGCTAGCTTCTTTGCCAGTATGGTGATGCAACTGTTTTTAACGAACAAATCGTTTAGAGAGATGACTAGAGGAAAAATTTGAGTGAACTATGTGGCATAAAGGTGTAGAGGTTCTTATTTTTTGCTGCCATCATGTGGCCATTTCGGGTCAGATTTTGGTCTAGTTTGATTGCTTCAGTATTTCCAAACGTCTGAATAATCTAATTTACTTTATTGCCACGAAAAGGGAAGCACTGCATTGTTTGTAGAGCCAGTGATCTTGTAAACCAAACACATCGTATTGGGTGTAATGAAGTCTCAGTGAACTGTCCCACCTCCCTACCACAAGCCCCTTTGAGCTATTAGTCTCAGTTTCATAGTCGCAGAATGCCTAAGTGTTCCTTGCTGGAACTCTAAATAAAAATTAATTTTCATTCTAACCTTCACCAGCTTTCCATGCTTTTCAAGGAATTGACCACAAGGTACTATTGAACCTTTTTCAAATTACAGCATTGGTAGAATAAGAGATGTTTCTTTTGCTGCTAACATGTTTTGAGATTGCCCACAAATAATATTGGAAAATTATTCACCTTAATCTGTGAGCTCTCTGTGGACTTCAGTTTCACTGACTGAAGCACATGCCGTCAAGATAGTGGTAGGGAAACATGGAATACCATCACTTCAGCAATTAAAAACAGTATTCAGTGTTTTGTTCTGTTTTTGACAGACTGGCTGTGCTGGGTGCTGGGGTGGTATGTGCTTTCTCTAGAGTTCTCTGATTCATGGTAAATAGGATGAACTTTTTTTACCTTGCATATGCCAGCTGTTGAGTTCAGTACCAAAACTGTAGAAGTGAAAGATGAATGCTTATTCACCCACATCTGGTACTTAGGTAAAATAGTACTTTTCTGCAAGTTATTTTGGTTTTGGCTGTTACTCAGCTCTCAGTACCAGCTGAAAACAAAACATGAGAACATCAACAAATCAACATCAGGACACCAACAAATCAAGACCAATATTAAAGTTTAATGTGCTAAAGTGAAAACTACCTGGTTAAGCAAAATCGATATGCAATGTTTACCAAATTCTGAAAGATTTATGTAAGTGTCAATATTTTACTGTGCTTAAGCTATACGGCTGATGTGATTTTGTATGAATTACTATTGTTTTTTCCTTAACTATATCTACATTATTCAGCATGCTTATCATGTGCACTATTTTGACCAACTGTGTATTTATGACCATGAGTAACCCTCCAGACTGGACAAAGAATGTAGAGTAAGTTGTGTATGTTATTTAAAGATATCTTTGACTGTTCCTCTAGGAGTCAGCATGCCAGTAACTGCAGTCGTGTGTGTTGGCAGGAGGTATCATAAGACACTACTACTATTTCCTCCCTAAGCTATGTAGAAATGTTGAATAATTATTTAAATCTCCTTCTAGTAGAATGATTGGGTAGAAAAAATTAGAGTTGTTTAGAGATAGTGTTCTACCGAGATTCCACTAGTTTTCTCTCATCTTCATGGTTTATCATCTACCCAATGTTTTTACTACTCCTTTACACCACTGTGTTAATAGCAGAACCATGGCTATCTGTTTGTACATGCCAGTTAAAGACAGCATATAAGCAAAAGTATTCCTATCGTGAGAATTCAGTGTGTGCTTGCATTCTTCTCTTTTTAGAGGTAATTCCAGGTGGTTCAGGTGTCAGTGAGTCAGACTGTATCCAGTAACTTATGCTCACAACTTTCTTGTTTAACAGTAATAGATCTAGTGTTGTATACTTTTAAACTGTCATCAGTAATTTTTTAATATATGTAATTTATTTAATGGATTTATTTATTTTGATTTATCTATGAGATCAGGACTGTGACAGCGTGTCACAACTAATGTAGATACACAAGTATGTATGGTTAATATAATGCATTTAAGAAGAAATTGCTTATTTACTGTATTTCTTTTCCAGTTTTGAAATAAAAAACCTCTTTCATTTGATCATCAGGTTTCTATCAGAATACCAATGTAAAATGTTGCTACTTACTTTGATTAAATTCTCCTGTATTTTCCAGGTATACATTCACTGGAATTTATACGTTTGAGTCACTCATAAAAATCATTGCAAGGGGCTTTTGCTTAGAAGATTTTACTTTTCTTCGAGATCCATGGAACTGGCTTGATTTCACTGTCATTACCTTTGCGTAAGTTTTTGGTTTTTTGCTTTTTCTTTGCAAGTGAAGGGCAAAAAGGGCATGAAATTAGTATCAATATATATCAATTTCATTAAAAGGAAATTCTTGTATGGATTTACTTTTGTTTAAAACAGTTTTCACATTCCAATATGTGTATTTTGATGTAAAAATAAATACTGCAGAAGCCATTAGTAGAGCTAGTATTAGAGAGGCTAATTTCATGTCCTGCATTTTTTTTCTCTGAGCAGAAGAGGAGCATCCCTTTGACTTCATTCTCCAAACTTGCCAATCTAGTCTAGATAAATTTTAGGCTTTCAAAGTTAAATCACTGTGATTCACTTCAGAGACATTTAATTTAACTGAAGGCTCTGAAAGCATATTAATGCAAGGCACACTGCAGTGAAGGTAAACCTCTGACTGTTGCTATTTAATTTTTTGCTAAAAACACCGAAGTGGTCTTGATGAAAGACCCAAGTAAGTAGCATAAACTTTGCGTAAATTCTGAATAACTGTGATTTAATCCTACAGGTATGTAACAGAATTTGTAAACCTAGGCAATGTTTCAGCTCTTCGAACTTTCAGAGTATTGAGAGCTTTGAAAACTATTTCTGTAATTCCAGGTAAGAAGTAACTGGTGTAAGGCGTTAGGCCCCTTGTACCTCCCAACTGTTCCTTTTTATCCTGTCATTGTGTTTGTGTGTGAACTCCCCTATTACAGATATGTGACAGAGTTTGTGGACCTGGGCAATGTCTCAGCGTTGAGAACATTCAGAGTTCTCCGAGCTTTGAAAACAATATCAGTCATTCCAGGTGAGAGCTAGGTTAAACACTGAGGCTGACTTTAATTCACTAAAACAGAATTCATATTTTTTAAACATGTCTTATTTCTTTCCACAAAAAAAGCAGGAATCGGAAGATATTAGAATTCACTGAAATCTCTGATTCATTGCTTTTTAACATGAGCTCTTTCCTTTTGAAATCAGCCTTTGAGTTTAACAGATTCTTGCATGAGACATTGCAGTACACAGTGTGTGTGGTTTGCATCGTATGATGTCAAGCTTTCTTCTCCACATTCAACGAATATCAGTAACCCTGAAGTTTTCTTACCCATGTGTATCTTACCTACATGATGTTATGTGGTATTTGTTGTGAATATCTGTGTCTAAAAAACAGAACTGTTTGAAATGTTGACTTAGTAAGAAGATGAAGGAATAAGATAATAAAGTATAGCATGGGCATTGCATGGGGGATTTATTATCTTAAAATGCTACGATTTTTCCAAACCATCTCCAGTTTTATAGCATTAAATTTTAATCCTAGTTATTGTTGAACAGGCTTTTTACTACTGTCTTCTAAATCTAGTATGTTATAAAACTGATAGTAGCAAAGGTTTGGGGCAAGAGGTATTGACAAATAAAAGGAAAGAAGACTTTTATCTGAGATTCACGTACAGCATGAGTAAAAAAAAAAAGAAGTCACTTGTTTTAGCATTAAAACAAGTGTTTTAAAATATACGCAACTCATTCCATTCACGGTTTCAAACAGACATAAATTTCAGCTATTTATTCATTTTCACAAGTGAAAAAGCTCTTCACAAAGATGTTATTCACAGACATTACAATCATTTATTTGGGCTTCTGCATGACATTTATAACTTTACTGGGAGACACTGTCATTTTTATGCTTTAAAAAAGTTTTGAACATCAGAATAAAAATTCCTTTGCATTTGCAGGCTTGAAGACTATTGTGGGAGCCCTAATTCAGTCTGTGAAGAAGCTCTCGGATGTTATGATCCTCACTGTGTTTTGCCTGAGTGTATTTGCACTAATAGGGCTGCAGCTGTTCATGGGCAACTTGAGGAATAAATGCCTGCAGTGGCCTCCAGACAATTTTACTTTGGAAACAAATATTACTTCCCAGCTAAACAGCTCCATAGGTGAAAATGGTACATTGGTTAATTCAACAGTGACTCCATTTGACTGGAAGGGGTACATTGAAGATGAAAGTAAGTAGTGTCAGCAGAATTGTTATTGAAGTGATTTCTGGCTGACCCAGTTCTTAGAAATAAGGAGGGGAAGGGATGATGCACTTATTTAAGAGAGAGCAGAAGTGTTTTCACTCTCTCATAGATCTGCTCCAAAGGCTGGCATAGAAGAGGGAACAAGGAACATGGTCCCTCTGCTTGATACAAGTCCTTTTCTCAGCTCCCTCTGCCAAATCCACATCTCCCCTGAGACAGAAAGAGGTCCAAAGCAGTTCTTAAAACTACTTAATAGTCTTAAAGATTTTCCATTCCAATACTCCAAAGCAAGAGGCTTGCAGAGCAACAAACTGCTATGTCATTTTTGACAGATGTCAGAGACTTCTGACATTCAGGGACATTCAGTATTTTCACTATCTATCCATTCTTGTGCTTCACTACCCTTATTATTAGAAAGGGTGGGGTTTTAACATCTAACAAATTTTTCTGGTGCAATTTAAGCTCATTGTTCTTACCAACTTCACCACATGCATGAAAACCAAATGAGTCCCTATCATTGATCGCTGTCTCTGAAGTATTTAGAGATTATTCTTATGTTGCCATGCCTTGTCCTCTCCTCTTTCAGTCTTCTTTTTGTATGCAAAGCAACCCAGATCATTACCCTTTTTCTTCTACAATTTATTTTCTAGATCTTGATCTCTCATCTGGATCTTTTCTTGTTTGTAAACATCCTTCTTAAAGTGCTGTACCCACATCTAGGTATTTCTCCTCCACGTGAGGCATATTAAGTAGAGAAGAAGGATTATGGGGTAGCATAGTAACTTATACTTCTCTTTTGTATATCCTAGGCTAGGGCTTGCCATTGTTTACAACAGTAACATGGTTAAATCCTGTTCAGTTTGTGGTCTACCTGCTTCTGAATTTTACAGATTTTTACCTCATTGAGTTTACCTCATTTGCACAGTTCATAGCTCTGGACCAAACAGCACCCTATTTTTTCAGACCATCTCTTCAACTGCCCTGGATCTTTTAAATTGTAATTGTTTCCTCGAACTCAGCACCATCCTTACAATTTGCAAATTTTGATAAGCATTCTTCCATCATGCAGATTAGTTAAAACTTTAAATAGCAGCAATCTCAGACAAACCTCTTTAGAAGTTGTTTTGATGCATCTTTCCATTTTGATTAATTTCCCAAAGTATGATTTTCCAACTGCTTTTACTGATACAGAGCAGTCTGGCAAACTGAGAAAAAAGAAATGCATTTCAGTACAGTTAGATGTGAGGTTACAAACCTAAGCTCCCTATCCTAAAAATCAGCACTGCACAATTCATGTTGGAACAGGTTCATGTGCATAAAGGCTGTAGCTGATGGCATACATTCTCATTAACAGTGAAAGTTACATTTGGAGAAAAATAAGAACTAAAAGGAAGAGAGGGGAAAGAAAAGGGAAAGGGAAAACTGACTACAGTGACCATCTGTGAAGAAAAGTGGTGGGGTCCCCAGGTGAGTCTCCTCCCCTGGGTATCCTTTCCAGTGCAGTGGTGATCACTCTGCAATACTTTTCCCATAGCAACCATATGTTTTTCATTAGCATCTCCTCAAACTCCCTATGGGTTGTTCCTGCTTACAGTGCTATTAGCACTAATTGGAACACACTTTGATCAGTCTGGTTGGCTTTTAAGCTCACATATGTGTGTTATTAGGTCACCTAATACAAACTTAAAGCAAGGAGCAGGAAAAAGGGGGAAAAGAGGGATGACCAGAGACAACTGCTTCCCATGAGTACCTGCTGCAATGATAACACGTTTGCAGGAGTAACGTCATGAGAATAAAAGCAACACAAAAACCAGCATGAGAAAAAGGGAAAATAGTGGCAGAGGGTCTCTGGAAAACACTGGCACAGCAGCTTATGTGAAATGTTGCAGAGCTGCAACTGAAAGGTAGGATATAGAAATGCAATGGGAAAGCCCTTTGCAATAGAAAGGCCAAGGCACCTAAGGCTCTGTGGGGCAGCCAGGACTCTGACAAATTAAGGCTAAAACTCTGCAGCCAAAAAGCTAAATAGTATGCTGTTCACGCAAATAAATTATTGACCAGGAAGGCAGTATTACCCCTGTTTGCAGTACTGCAGTTGCTACTGGAATACTGTATAAAGTTCAGTTCAGATAGAATGTTGAAAAATTGGAGGATATTCAGAAAAGAATGATTAAAGTTTTGGAAAACATGCTTTATACCAAGATAGACCAGGAGCTCAAGCTACTTAGCATATCAAAGAGGAGGTTTAAGGGATGATTTGATCACAGTTGAGGAAAACCTCATGGGGAAGAGAAATTTCATCATAGACATATCTTTGATCTAGCACGAAATGATATAACAGGTTCAGTAGCTGCAAGTCAAAGCCAGACAAATTTCGAATAGAAGTAAGACAGCATCTAACTGATCACACAGCTGGTCAATGACTATGATGGATTTCCATCTGTACGTGTTAAATCCAGATACAATTTTTTATGAAGCTCACTTTACTTGAACATGTGATTTCATGGAGATCCCACGCCACAGGCTATAACAAAGTCTAAGCAAAGTCTCCTAATGAAGACCTAGACTTCAAGTCAAACATCATTTCCTGTCTCTTTAACAAAGAATCTATAAACTCCAGCTCTGATTTAATTTGATTTAAAGAAGACCTGAAGCCCCCTAAAAAACAAAGGTGAATTGAATTAGTCACAGAAAGTACTTTATAGAATGACTGCTTGAACCTTTGGTATATTTACACAGGATTTCATATGTATTATGACATTTATAATGAAATTATGAATCTTACGTGAAGTTAATAAGCTTGTCCTTGCTTACCAGCAGTTTTAAAGAGAAAAATTATCTTCTCACAGCTTCCTGCTCTCTTTTTACAGGTGGGCAGACAGGATACAGAAATGGTTCTTGAACCAGCTGTGTCACAGGGCAGTAAGAAGGGACTTAGGTGGAGATCAGAGCAGTGCAATGGCATTGTCTATAGTAGGAATTATAAAAGTTTTTATGCCAGTAGTTGTGTATACTATGCAAAAAAAAACATGTAAGCCCTAGTTTTGCCACTGAGCTCATTTTTGGAAACACTATTTAGAGACTTTATGTAAGCACTCCTGGCATTAGTGAGTCAAGCACTTTTTTTTTTTTTTTCTTTTGTCTTCTTCCAAGATAGCAAATTTGATAAACTTAATACTAGATAAGTCTAAGTTTATCTTGACAAGCTTGCCATAAGCAATTTTTTTGTGGGATATAACATCTCTCAATCTGTTTTGTAAAATAACAATTATTCTCAGTCATTACCCTAGGTTTACTCAAACTGTAAATTCCCTTGAAGTGTAGTGCTCACCTACCAGGGATTTTTTTCCTATTTCCCAATCAAATAAAGGGGAGCCAAACACGTACCTCTGATGTAGTGAGGGACTTTTCATGTTACTTTGGTAAAATACAATTCAGAATTTTGCATCTACTTAGGGACACATGCTTATACCACTCAGCTTGTGATGTTCCTATCGTGACAGTATTTTGAACATTTGTCACGGTTGTATCAGTGCTCTTAGAGAAAGCCTGCATGGCTGTTATTTCCTGTGGAGCTGGCAAGTATAGCATGCTTACAGGGCACATCTTGTCTGAACACATAACTTGAACAGAGACCCTATTTTAGCAGTTCAGCTCAGCTGATGCAGTACTGATCATGACTGACTGCTCCGTGTAAACTATATCAGATCAGGTTTGCGTTCTTCCCAAGCAGCTGTTATGTTCCAGCATGTTTTAATCATGATTAGCTGACATAATGCAGAATAAGATTTGCTTCATGAGGGTCAGCATCACATCAGCTAACTTTACAGCTGTGTTTCAGCACAGTGCAGTTCTGCAATGCATACCAGCCCAGAATGACAGCGGCCACACACAGGGTTGCGCTGTGCACTTTGCACAGTACAGAAGGCTGTGCACTGTAAGACACAAGTGTATCATCAGGCACTGAAACAGAGTCCTTCACAGCATGTCAGAACAAGATCTACACACAGCTTAAAACCAAACTTTTCCAAATGGTGAATTTCGGTCACAGGGTGGAGCAATGCAGCTGGCCAGGGTACCATGTCTCTCCTGCAGCAAATCAATGTGCTGAGCCAGTAGCTTGTGACACCTCCTCAGACTCAGAATTCATTAGCTTCTGCAGTAACCCTGCTTGGGCAGCACAGACACAGTCAAGTTTAAACGCAGCTGTTCCGGTAGCATTTCAAATGAGATCATTTTAAGTGAATCTAACAGGCCAGTTCAATGGAAAAGAAATCCAATGAGGGGTTTAAATCTTCTCGGGGAGCAAAAAAGGTACCACCTTAACCCAAAGCTTCTGTGCTTCAGAAGTACTGGAAGCTGGGGAGGCGCTCAGGGGAGTATCCCCATGTCCCTGCCCTGTCCTTACAGACATCCTGAGGCAATGCTTTGGTCTCCGTCAGAAATGGGATTCTGGGCTACGTGGTCTGGCGCTGCAGAAATTGTATCCTTAAGCCTGTGACCAAATGGGAGATTGTTACTACAGGAAGAAGATCCTCCTGTGGTAATTCTTCCAAAATTTAGGGCTTAGCAACTGTAGGCATCTGCTTTGAGGCAAAAAAGAAAAGCACTTCTCAAGGATATAGTCAAAGTGAGTCTTAATAAGCACAATGTTTTGCGCATCACCTCTTTATTCTTCTAATAATAGACTGGTCAATGTCTTTGTTGTTTAAACTATCTAAAATGTCCTCTAAAAACAGGTTTACTATACAGATTATGGGATGGTTTGCTACAGGGCAATTTCATGGAACTTACTTAATTTTTCTTTCCTAAGGTGATAAATAATTTCATTATATACTTCTAAAATCCTACCTACACAAGTCAGTGACTGTTGTAGTTATTCTGTCCAAGTTGAATTTAGATGTATACCAGGGCTTTCATACTAATACCAGGGTTAATTGCAGTGTGTAGGCACCCATAACATTGCTGAAAAAATAACACTGCTTTTAAAAAAATGCATCTGAGATCATCTTAGCACTTTTAGAACAGGACTATTTATTTCATAGAGCTGTAAGAAAACTTAGATATTCAGCATCTAATAATGTTCTAAAAATTATTTTCTAAACAGGTCACTTCTATTTTCTGGAAGGGCAAAATGATGCTCTACTTTGTGGAAATAGTTCTGATGCTGGGTAAGACCAAATTTCATCCTATTATTGCACTGTGTACAAATTAGATCCATGTTCTTTAGATGGGCAGTTGGAGGGGGTCTGTATTTTGAGTGACCACTTTCTTTCACATAAGAAATACTAGGATCTTACACTGGACTGACATTTTGGGATCCTGGTTAGAGCTCAGTGGGTTGGTTAGATGAGCTTAGTTTTTGCATGAATGTACCAGTAATTCGGTATTAGTGTAGCTCCTGCCTGGATGAGAAGCAACAGACACAGCAGCTGGAAAACATGTTATTTTGCGCTTCCAGCTGCTCATATGAGTACTAACAGGCTTAGACAGTAGAAAACACTGACATTGACATTAACATTACAACAGTAATAATTAAAGAAATTATTTGGAATATTATGTTTTAGAAGCTTAGATTAAACTTTTGATACTAATTTTTGATGCTTCATTTTTCTAGCATCCTTTAAAATAATTTTCTTTCAAAAATCACAAGACCTATTTTTTCTAGTCTGATTAACTAAAGAAAAATCCTCTTTCTAATCCAAATCTTCTCCTGGACATTTCGGGTGATAATATTAAAATAACTCTGTAAGGTAACACCCTGTTTCTCTTTGTAGGCAGTGCCCAGAAGGATATACCTGCGTGAAAGCTGGTAGAAACCCCAATTATGGCTACACAAGTTTTGACACCTTCAGCTGGGCTTTTTTGTCACTATTTCGCTTGATGACTCAAGACTTCTGGGAAAACCTTTATCAATTGGTGAGAATTTTTTAATGCAAAATACACTAAATATGTTTGTACGAATATTGCAAGAGGCCTAAAATCAATTTTCTCATATTACCTTAATTTTAACAATATGAAAGACAGAACTTTTGTTAACCTGTTCTTGCTTACAAATATATTCTCATTTCCAGACACTGCGTGCTGCTGGGAAAACATACATGATATTTTTCGTTCTGGTGATTTTTCTGGGTTCTTTCTACCTGATCAACTTGATCCTGGCTGTGGTTGCTATGGCCTACGAAGAACAGAATCAAGCAACCATGGAAGAAGCAGAACAGAAAGAGGCAGAATTTCAACAGATGCTGGAACAACTGAAGAAGCAACAGGAAGCAGCTCAGGTATAATTTATAGTGTAATACTGCAGAAGTGTATGGAAGTAATTTTACTACAGATATTCATCTTCTGCTTTCTGAATTTGGAATTATAAAACACCCTGTTGGGCTTTCAAAAACAGATCTAGCTCAGAGATTTTCTATTCTGCATTAAAGATGTACAGTGAATGACCCAGCCATAATCAAGAAGGAATATTCAAAACTAGGTACATATTATTAATTATGTTTTTCTTAGTCTAATGTAATTAAACAGTCTGTTAAACTTGTACATGTTAGACTTTTACTCATGAAAGATGGAAGAAGGCTATGACCAATACGTATCTTGAGTCGACTGAGTAACAAAAATAGGAGAAAATTAGGGACAGAATATCCTTTGGAAAATGTTAAGATCCAGGGCATTTGGACTAGAAATTCTGTAGAAATAAATTTTTTAAAAAAAAAAAAAAAAGAAAAAAAGATGTAATGGTTTACTCAGTGACACAAATTCATTTTGCAATATGGCAGGCAGCAGCGGTGGCAGCAGCAGCAGTAACAGCATCTGCGGAGTCCAGGGAGCCCAGTGCTGGTGGAGAAGGAGGAGGGGTCTCAGAAAGCTCCTCAGAGGCATCAAAATTGAGCTCAAAAAGTGCAAAGGAGAGGAGAAATAGAAGGAAAAAAAGAAAACAGAAAGAACAGTCTGGAGGAGAGGAAAAAGATGAAGATGAATTTCACAAGTCTGAATCAGAAGACAGCATCAGAAGGAAAGGTTTCAGATTATCTATTGAAGGCAATAGACTGACATATGAAAAGAAATATTCTTCTCCACATCAGGTATTGCATATAGTTATTTTTAGTAGAAGCATACATTTAAAGCATCATAGGCTGTTACAAAACTACTCTAGTCTTCCTGGTAATATGACCCTACTGCCTAAAGAGTGGAAACACTGAGAGTTTCATTAAAGTTTATTATTGTTGCTAGTGCTTGAGAGAAAGTACTGTAGCTCCTAGATTGTCTTGTAAAAAACCACAGAGAATTAAGTGTAACCTTATATCTCTATTTGTGTAATAGGATTGTTTAAAAATCGTATTAAAATATTCTCTGATTGATTATATGGGGTTTTTCTAGAGTGATTATATATTATCTAGACTTATTAAAATGCTACGTATTTTTCCATCGTGATAGCCTCATATTTTCCTCCCACACCAATGTTTGGAGGTTGGTTCAATATGTGCAGGATGCTGCATACATGAAAGAATATGCATGTATAGACTCCCTTTTTTTCATGATGGGCGTTGTGCAATGGTCTTGAAGGACTAGCTGTGCAACTAGTCTACTCAGCAACTCTGACATTAGGAGAAAGGAGTGTTTCTCAAAATTGGTTTTGTCTTAAGAATCCACAAACAGTGGTATTTCTATCTGCAAAATATATACATAATGAAATACACAGAAAAATTTCACAGCAGCATTTAGCTTCTGGGAAAAAATGTTGCTCTCATTTAAGAAGAAAAACCCCTATGCTAGCCTAATAGCAATGCTAAGTTTGAAGGTTTCAGCTAATAATCACAGTTTTATTCGCCTACAGTCTTTGCTGAGCATTCGCGGCTCCCTGTTTTCCCCACGGCGCAACAGCAGAACAAGTCTTTTCAGCTTCAGAGGTCGAGCAAAGGACATAGGATCAGAAAATGACTTTGCTGATGATGAGCACAGCACCTTTGAAGACAATGATAGCAGAAGAGATTCTCTCTTTGTGCCGCGCAGACACGGTGAACGGCGCAACAGTAACATTAGTCAGGCCAGTAGGTCATCCAGGATGCTGGCAGTGTTTCCAGTGAATGGGAAGATGCACAGTACTGTGGATTGCAATGGGGTGGTTTCCCTGGTTGGTGGACCATCAGTTCCTACATCGCCTGTTGGACAGCTTCTGCCAGAGGTGATAATAGATAAACCAGCTACTGATGACAATGTAAGAAAGTTTTAAATAGCTTAGGCATCGTGGCCTTTTCTTACTGCACCAGCCAGTGTTTTCTACAGAATGGAACCCTTGGCAATGCTTCCTGGTTGGTGAAGCTGTGAATGCTCCTGCATCTTGTAAAATCTTTAATAAATAAAACAGCTAAGATGGGTTTGCAACCTAAGCATTTATCTACAAATATTCTCATAACTAACAAATGCAATTTGCGGTTTCCAAGTAATAAAATATTAACTTAACATTCATGAAAGCACTATGCTTTACTGTATTTCTGTGCTATACTTTTGCTGATCTAAAGGTCCATCTGGCTATGGTCTGCAAAATCATAGTTACTATACAATTGAAAATAGTATACACAAATGTTATCATATAACTTCAGTAAATATGATGCTGCTATTACCACTCTATCAAAATTAGCATCATTTGTTAATTTTGATAACATTCCTCCTTATCAGCCCTGTAAAAATGTAAGGGCGTTGTGAACTCTTTTTTGACAATTATTTCTCATTCTTACGTGTTTTCCATCCATTGCTAGTGGAGTTCTGTAGTATAGATAACAAATAGTTCATTGGAAGATCACATTTCAATACACACTTCCAAAAATACAAATGTCTGTGTGGACATTTGCACAGCAGATATTGCTGTCATTTTCTAACCATATATAAGGTAAGAGAAGATGTCTCAAAGAAATTTCTTGCTTAGTTCTAAGTTGCCTACTCACATTACTAAAAAATACTAGCATGAGGAAGCATGAGGAAGTCAGACTTTTCTTACTTTCTACAGTTTGCCTAAGGGAAAAAACCTATTATATTACAAAACCTAGACTATTCTGGCAGCAGGAGCAAAGAAAAAAATTACAGTTTGCAAAAATTTTATACAATATTTTTTAACTCAATGCTTTTCCATTTGTTTAAATAATTTTTCATAGCTTGAAGGAAAGAAATGCAAAAGTTAAGTAAACAAACTCTCTCTCAGTCTTGAAGAGTAACTATTGCCTCACCTTTTTTGAATTATTTAAAAGATACTAAAAAGTAATAAAAGGCTGACATGATAAAAACGGAAGTGCACGAAGCACGTATTCAAGCTAAGACATTAATAACAGGGTTCTATATAGTATTTGTTTATCTTATTTCTCCAACATGGTCTCACCTGTTATTGTTCTCTGTATAGGGCACCACTACAGAAACAGAAATGAGGAAGAGAATATCAAGCTCTTTTCACGTTTCTGTGGACTTCTTGGAAGATCCGGCTTTAAGGTAAAGAGCCATGAGTATTGCTAGCATCCTCACAAACACTGTGGAAGGTGTGTGCTATGCATAGCTTAATATTTAATACCTGTTTTTCAATGGACTTCTGAAAATTTGAGTTTAAACTTAAAAACCGATTTAAAATAGCTTCATTAATAGATACCATCTCACATACTGACACATGTTTATCAGTAAACTCAAAGCTCTTTATTCATTAAGGTTATTACATAAGTAAACATTAAAGTTATTACGTAAGTAAGCACTTCTATCTCATTGTTTTGCCACCATCTACCTCATGTGGCCATCAAAACTACAGAGTTATGTTTGATGGACATAATTGAGTGAATGCTTACATATATAATTAAAAATACATTATTGGACACAAAAATGCCACTGAACATTTTTCAAATATATGCAACCATTGTTAAAATAGATACATATTTTGAGAAGTTATATTTATTCAGTTAAAGAAGTACCACTTAAAGAGGTTCTAGGTGCTAAAAAAATTTTTTCCTTGAACAAGGAATGAAAATTGTACTGAAAATTTTTACCTAAACAGCACAAATTTCAAAATAAAAACATTTACATAACGGAACAGTAAGTGGGAGGAACAGGCTGAAGTGTAATCAAGGAACAATTAAATACATAATACAAGTCTGCATAAATCGATACTGATAGGCGTAGTGTTTGGAAAACAAAGACTTTGTGCTTGATAGATAAGCTCTGAACAAAATAATCACATTTGACAGCAATTTTTAAAGACCTTCTTGAAAAGTCCTTGTCAGTGGAGCATGGGACTCTTAATCCCAGGGTCGTGGGTTCATGCCCCACGTCAAGCAAGCAGCTGCTTAGTTGGTGGCAGGGGTTAAACTACAACAGTCCTGTAAAAAATGGCTTATAGGAGGTTAATTGGTACCAGTACAGATTGACAACTTGACTGGTACAATTCATATTGGATTAGGGAATGTTAGAGCAATCACGTAGTTACCTGTATGAACTCTTTTTTCCCACAGAACTTGAAGAATCAAGACAGAAATGCCCACCATGTTGGTATAAATTTGCAAATATTTTCTTGATCTGGGACTGCAGTCCGCATTGGTTAAAAGTAAAACATATTGTCAACTTAGTGGTAATGGACCCATTTGTTGACCTGGCTATTACAATTTGCATTGTTTTAAATACACTCTTTATGGCTATGGAACATTATCCAATGACTGATGAATTCAATAACGTACTGTCAGTTGGAAATCTGGTAAGTCTGTTAGTTTTACATGTTCATGACTTGCAAGGAACTATGTCTGAAATAACTGAAAGGAGTTTTAACAGGTTGTTGTGGGGTTTTTTATTCATTAGAAAGCAGATTTATTGGACATTTATTAGCCTCCAGATATGACTATCAGAACTTTTTTTTTTTCTTTGAAATTTCACTGTCAACCCTGGCTCATGTAACTTAGGATACTGTAAAATCAATATACTGCAGTGTTCTGCAAAGCCAAATTAAAAATTAAAAAAATGGCACCAATGCCATTAAGTAAAGTCCATCTTAAACAGAGGTTGATTTATCTTAACTACTAAACCAGGAAATGCATGACTTCCATGAAAAAGACACTATGCAAATAAACATTGTTACTTTTGCAATCAATACAATGCAAATCTTTAAATTATGAATGTGTTTTTACTTGCTGTGTTTCCTGAGCACAGGTTTACAATAGCTACAACAGCCACTCAAAAGCATTTCTAGAATTTTCTTCTGTAAAAGACTTTTTATGTGGATATGTGGATTGTTTTCTTTATATGTTTTATGTAAAACTATGAAAAATATCCTGCAGTACTTTTTCCTCTTGTAGCTTTTATATTTTTTATCATCAGATTATTAGTAAGATATCTTTTCCTCATATTGTCATCTATATTTTCTCCCTTCTACTTCAAAAAGATAAATTATTAAAAAATTCAGGAGTTAATTTTTTGTAGCTCCAGTGCTTTTGAACTGACAGGTTTGATCACGTAGAAGTATCTGTGGCTGCAGTCCTACTTTGTCTCTTATTTTAAGAATTCATTTTTTATAATTGGATTTTTAAGAATCCTTGTTTTATAATGAGGAAAAAATCTCAGATCATGTAATTAACTACAGGATTTAGAAGGGAGAACTAATAGATAAATGCACAGCTGGTTTTAATATACTTAAAATAAGGGAAACTCTGAATATGTTTCCTAGTAAAATGCAAAACCTTATACTGTAGCATTTTATAGGTTGTTTTCCAACCAAGAAAATGACATGTAAATCTGAGTGTACATCTGACTACAAAGACAGTGTGAAAGAACCTGGCTATAAGCACCACACTCTTCCAGTCTTAGGCTTCCTGACATAAACCCTTCCGCAATATAGAAGCTCTCAGGGTTTGCCTGCTCCAGTAGTCACACTTTAAAACTCCTTGAGAACTGCACCATCCTGATCATTAGGAACCTCAGTCAGCGTTTCAAACTGTATTTATTCATTCCTATCTCTTCCTCAGTGGTTCTAATCCTGTAGCTTAAAAAACAGTAACTGTTCCCTCTCCTGTGTTTGTATCTGGAACGTATTTAAAGACTCTGATAAAATCTATCTTGAGCATTGGTGTTCCTAGGCAGAGCAAGTCAGACCCTTCTTGTTCATCTCCTGATTATCCTAGTTAGATTATTCTCTTTAGCTGTCCCATTTTCTGTTCAGTTTTCTTGAAAATGGGTTATCAAAAATAAAACAAACAAAAAAAAAACGACACAAAGTGTTTCAGATCAGGGCTCAGGAAGCCTTTAACAGTGGCTTTAGTACATTCCTATCCTACAGGAAATTCTTCTAAGACTTCTCTCAAAGTTACTCAGGGTCACTACCTTGGTGGCTCCTAAATATGATTCCTACCTCTTCCAGCGTAGTATCCCATGATGAGAAACCATCAATTACCAGCAATATCATGTTTAAAATGCATTCCTGACATCAAAGTGATTGAGCCAATCAACTTCACTGAACTTACTGACAAAACAGTTAGAAGATCCTCAGCTTTGGCAAATTGTTGTATCTCAGTTGATCTCCATCTGGTAGAAATAATTGTATCTCTGTTGAACTGAATGGGATTATGGCAGGTTATACCAGCAAAGGAGATGCCCCTCTGGAGTCTTAGATTTGGCCTCATTCATGCTGCTGTATACCATAATTACTATACCAAAAAAGATGTTATACCACGTAATTTCTTGGAAAGCATTCTGGTTTATGTTGAGAAAATCAAAATTAGGGTATTATTTGTACAGTACACGAGAAAGACTATATCCTGATAGAGCTGAAATTCGATTATAAATGTTATTATACAGTAGTTTATGTAATTTGTTTAGTATAAAATTTAATTAATGGAAAAAATTACTTGGTTTGTGCGACACTTGTTAAGCAAAGGTGGGCATAATAAATCACTGCAGTACACTGAACTTGTTTTAAATGTCAGTTTTGGATAAGACATTGCAGATACGTCTCTTGAATTAAAAACCTAGACAGCAGTTAAATCTGTAATATTATATTTCACAATGAAATAACAAACTACATTTTGATTTCAGGTCTTCACTGGAATCTTCACAGCAGAAATGTTTCTCAAGATAATTGCAATGGATCCTTACTATTATTTCCAGGAAGGCTGGAATATTTTTGATGGTTTTATTGTAACTCTTAGCTTGGTTGAGCTTGGTCTCGCAGATGTGGAAGGACTCTCAGTTCTTCGATCATTCAGATTGGTAAATATACATCAACCACACTGATTTTTCAATGGGGCTTCATTAAAATAATTTTTTTTTTTTTACCTTAAAAGTTTGCTTGCTGTTTGCCATGATACTGATCCTGATGTATCTTTCATTAGTACAAATCCTTATTACTTGTGGTATCTTACTGTCTTAAATGGGAATTAATAGAAATCCAGACAAATAGATAGCAATGGGTATTCTGGGCCTATTTCCAATGTATTTGTTGTATATACATATTCAAAACATCCTGCTACGCAGAAACAAAATGACTTACTAGATGTGTTATGCTCCGATTGACATCACAAGAATAGATCTGCTCTACAAATATCAGTAGAAAACTGGCCCAGATACTTTTAACAGATGAACCCTAAATTTTAAATTGCATCTGATGTGACCGGAAGCTTCTTTGGCCTTCAGTGAAAACTATGCTTTGAGGATATCAAGCTCTAACTTAATAAAGTTTCATTGAATGCACCTTCCATCCTCATGCTTTTAGACAAGAAAATACCCTCTGAACAGTCATACTCAAGGCATATCCTGCAGTAGCATCCTTCCAAAAAAAAAAATTAAAATATTTTTGCATCTTTCTTTCTGGTTGTCCTAACAATATTTTTCTTTTCTTCCAGTTACGAGTTTTCAAATTGGCAAAATCTTGGCCAACATTAAATATGCTGATTAAGATTATTGGTAACTCTGTGGGAGCTCTGGGGAATCTGACCCTGGTGCTGGCTATCATTGTGTTTATTTTCGCTGTGGTTGGGATGCAGCTGTTTGGGAAAAACTACAAGGAATGTGTCTGCAAAATCGCAAGTGACTGTGTGCTTCCACGCTGGCACATGCAAGATTTTTTTCACTCTTTTTTGATCGTATTTCGAGTGCTGTGTGGAGAATGGATAGAAACGATGTGGGACTGCATGGAGGTTGCTGGCCAAGCCATGTGCCTTACTGTCTTCATGATGGTCATGGTGATTGGAAACCTAGTGGTATGTAATTAAAGCGTCAGCAAAAAATTATTTGGCAATAGAGTGGGCTCAGTCCTGAAGTGAACTAAAAGTGCTCTGGCTCTACTTCAACAAAGCACTTTCCGCAGGTGGTTTCAAGCAATGATTAAAGTTAAGCTTAAGAGCTTTTTTGGATTGAGAAGAAAGTATTTTGCAACATTAAAAGCCTAAGAATGTTAGAGTGAGCACTTAGCCACATTCTTAATTTGTGTTTTAGCTCTTTGTAAATATTTTGTGCTTCAAATAATTTTAGTTTATGGGCTCTTTATAAACTATTTACTATAGATTTTTTTATTATTTATCCCATATGATTAGTCACTTAAATAATCTAAATTTTGCTCTGTGATGGGATAAATTAAACTTTTTAATGGTGTTGAATAGCAAATCCATTATCTCCATTTTTGGATTATAAGATTTAGCACCAAAATATTTGTATACTGTGGAGATTTAAAGACACATTTACAGATATTAGTCAGTTGCAGGAATATTTTTGAATAGTGAACAGGGCCTAGGCAAAATTTAAAAAGCTCATTTTTTTTTTTATGGACAAGAGAAAAAGTTTTGAGGGTGCTTTTCTTTGGTTATGGTGAATTATTGGGATTTCAGTCTTAGATGTCACTGATATAAAATTTTTTAATAAAATAGAAGTTCTTTGTTGGGATAAAGTCTAGAACATCCTTTTTTTTATCTTTCTGCAGGTACTGAACCTATTTTTGGCCTTGCTCTTGAGCTCATTTAGTGCAGACAACCTTGCTGTGACGGATGATGATAATGAAATGAATAATCTGCAAATTGCTGTAGCAAGAATGCAGAAGGGCATAGATTATGTGAAAAGAAAAGCACGCGAATTCATCCAAAAAGCTTTTGTTAAGAAACAAAAAGCTTTAGACGAAATCAAGCCACTTGAAGATTTGAACAACAAAAATAGCTGTATTTCTAATCATACAACTGTGGAACTAAGCAAGGACCATGACTATATTAAAGATGCAAATGGAACAACTAGTGGGATAGGCACAGGTAGCAGTGTGGAAAAATACATAATTGATGAAAGTGATTATATGTCATTCATAAACAACCCAAGCCTCACTGTGACAGTACCCATTGCTGTGGGTGAATCCGACTTTGAAAATCTAAACACAGAGGAATTTAGTAGTGAATCAGACCTGGAAGAAAGCAAAGAGGTATTTAAATATTTTGTGCATTTCTCTCTGATCTTTTGTGTATTTGTCTTTCTTTTCAGCTTAAAACAGTGTATTCAGTTCTTGATCATTTATTTTGACACTTTGTACATGGGCATAAATGAGTGTGTAAAGGATGGTTTAATTCTTCAGGAAGAAAAGTATGAGAAGGGGTTACAAATTACAGTCTCCAAGAGGAGATAAGAGGCCAGGCAATGGGAGATGAAACTAATCTATAAGAACTGTTTATGGTCCATATGGTAGCCGCAACAACTGGTAGAGCAGGGCAGTGCCCTAGCTTCAGCCTTATTCCACAAGAAACTTTTGTTTGCCTCCTGTAACAAGAGTCCCATGAGGAGTGTCAAACATCTTCTCTCTGCCACTGAAAAAATCCTCTATGTGATTTTTTTGAGAGCAGGTATAAACTAGAAAATATAGAGATAGTTTAGGTATTTCTTTTAGACACTAGAATTCTTTTAGATTTTAAAATTGTCTGCTCTTCTAGACCTAGATTACCATTAAAAGAAGTTTTAAACATTTAACACTTAGTTGTTAAAACTGAAAAATAGCATCAATAGATGAAAATATTTCATGTTGCTAAGGGAATGCCAAAGCAGGCTATAGATATAACTTGTTGAGAACTGTGTTTTTAAAAACTTATTAAGGTTATAATTGTTCCTTTACACGGCTTTTTTGTCTGAGGCTATTTTACAAAACATTTTAAATTGATTTGATAACATAATTTGCAGAACAGCTATACCCTCAGTGACTTAATTTGTTGACATTTTATTAAAATCAGAAAACTATCTTTCCAGACACTTAACAAAATTAATTTTCTGACTTGAGGAACCTCAACCTAAAACTAGCTAGTTTCCGTTCTGGTAGCAATCCAATTTCTTCGTGGGATAGCTGATCTTCCCCCACCACTGTTGTATTGCTAATGGTACTTCAGATACCTAATTTTAGGCTAGCTGAATTCTTTACTGCCATCACTTCAGTGTGCATAAGCCCTCTAGTGTTCTCTACAAAACCCAGTGCTAAGCTAAGCACAATCTTTGGATTTCCCCAAGAAAGGGTACCGGCACAAAAGAGCCTCTCCTCATGGCAACCTGTTTCAGAGACAATGGTGTTCCCATCAGTATCTGAAGCATTAGTATTTTTTTTCCTGTTAAATATTAGCCAAAATGTCTTATAATTTGGCTTTGACTCAAGCTTCTGAACTGCTGCTACAATAGAGGTTATAAAAATGTGTTTGACCACATTATGAACTTGGCCCTGCAGGAAGAATTTCTAAAGAAAACAACATTTAAACAAAGATCCATTGGAAAAAAACAACAACTGGTCAGCTATGCTCCCCACAACTACCTTAATGCTGGCCAGTCTGGTCCAGTCTTCCAACCCATCATAGAGCAGGGCAGTCAAACGGAGTGACACAAGCTGGTTCATGACTGACCAATGGGGAATAGATTCAATTTAGGAAAGCTTTCTGTAAATGTGCTGCTACTTTTAAGACCAGGGTTACCTTTTATCCCACTGAGAATCTACTATGATATTTCTGACTTCCTCCAGAAGCTTATGAAAGAGCAGCTCTGTTATATAGTTTCCTGTGGAAAATCCATCCAGCAGTGCTGTTTTGCATTTGAGTCCAACATCTTATTTTATATTGACTGGTAGTATAATGGGACTGCAGAAAAGAAATTATAAACACCAGAACAGCAGAGCCTTTGAATTAGCTAAGTTTTTGATGAGAACCCACTTAGAAATGACTGTATGGATTCTTTGCCTCTCAGGCCAGAGGGCACTAACAGGTGAGTTCCAGCTGTTTTCAGACTGTATTGAGTTTTTCAACATCATTCCTAGAGTTTTACAGTGCTGGCCAAGATCCTTTTTTGCTGATTGGGTCAGCTCTAAAAGTGGGGGTGTTTGAAGGGGGTGGAGTTATTAATTTGTTTGTTATGCTGTGGTTTGTTCTGTTTTTCAGCTGAGTAATCTTCTCCCTTAGCAAAGTAACAAATTAATCATCTTAAAATCATAAATTACACTATTAATTTCAAAAATCTTAATTTTAGTGTGCAAAAAGTAGCTGACAATGGTATTACAGAAAATTTACTTCTTAGAAGACAACTGAGAAATAAAATGAAAAGGGTTTTTTTCCCAAAAACGAAAAAGCTTGGGAAAAGTTTTGAAAAATACTTTCAGAAGTATTTTGAAAACTGTAAGTAATACTGCAAAAGACGATTTGTGAAAATTGGACTACTAGAAGTATACAATATTTTTTGTAAAAATATCAGAGAGGCAACTCTGTAACATAATTTGGAAAAAACCTGCTATAAATTGGTTCTTGTGACAAATAATGACAGAGCCTGAAACTGGATACATCAACCAGATTCCTGATAAAGTTGAAACATTGTTCTTCCAAACTCTATAGTCACCAGAAGATGAAATTAATAAAAAACTGGCTACAAATTTTTATTAGGTGCCATGCAACTCAATATCAGTGAGTGCTGGAATTGTTACCGAAAAACAGACTAGCTCCTGCTTTAGTAAAAGTTTTGTTGCTAGGGTTTCGGGATATTTTTGTCCTCAGTATCAAAAAGCCTGCTGCAACCTATCATTGATGAACATATATTGCATTTATTCCATTATTTTGTTTACCTCTACATCCTTAAATATGTATCCTTCACAATTTTTACCCAATCTTCAGCCACAATACCAACCAGGTAGATTGCAACCAGGTAGATTGCAACCAGGCCTCAGCTGCATGTTACAACCCTTTTAGAACTTTTAGCATGAGGATTAACTTAAGTGCATTCAGTTTTTTAAAATTTGGTTTCCACCTCCCACTTGTCTCTTTTTATGCTCATCATGTTATTGAATATTTGATTAAGTTATAAAACACAATCTGACTTTTTATGGGCCATCCTCAAGCTACCTCAGCTTTATTGCTGGCCTCGAACGTATGGCCTTCTCTGCTGATCAGTGCTTTTTTCCCTCATTCCTCTGAGCTCCCACCTCATTTATATAGTTATATTTAGGCTCCTACCTGCTTTTCAGTAGACACTACAGATTCCTGCATTATTTCTATGTAGGTCAAGGTATCATTGCCACTTATGGCTAGTTGTGGAAATAAATCTTTGCAGGCTTACTATTGTCATTCAGTTTTCAGTTTAAAGCGTAATTTTTTTAAAGCCTTATCTGTCACTGTTACACCTTCTATTTAATGGATCCATACAAAGCCAAAGATTGTACAAATTTCACGTTTATCAACAATTTTTTAATGTTGAATGCTAGAACATTCAAAAACATGGCAGTAATATTTACTTATTCTGATAACAACTAAAATTTGCCTTAAAAATATTTACTGTTCATTTGTGATGCTTTTTTTTTCCTTTACAGAAGTTAAATTTGTCTAGTTCATCTGAAGGTAGCACAGTTGATATCGGACTTCCTGCAGAAGAGCAACCAGAAGCTGAACCTGAAGAAGCCCAAGAGCCAGAGGCCTGCTTCACAGAAGGTGTTTGGAACAAAAATACTAATAATACTTATTCATGAAATATGGAATATTTATGTATTTAAACTAAGTATTAATATTTATGTATGGAATTACTCTTTTGTTAATGTTTAAACTAAGGTTACTAGTACTTTTAGACTATAATTTACCATATGGATACTGCCACCACAATTATACTATATATCAGATAAACAATTAAGAAAACATCTAATCAGAAATTTATCATTATTATTAAAATAAGAAAAATAGATTACTGAAAGTTTTATTTTAGTATGTACTACTGTATGTTCCGAGTTTAGTTACAGGCTCCCAGATAATAAAGTAACACCCTATTTTTATACCATTCTTTATAGATATTTATCAAAGTGCTTTCTAAAGTGTATGTTACTGGAACAGCTGTTGAGTGGCAAAAAAACCCTCCACCTGGATGGTTTTGTGCAAATGCTTAACAAACAATTCCACAAATTGTCAAAAAGAGAAGGAAGAGCCTTTGTGTGCCATGTGGGGCAAGAGCAGTCTCTGGTGGACTCATTCATCTTTCGTGCTTCCTTCTATTGGCCCTTTTACACAACTCAGTAAAACAAGAATCTGGTCATAGACTTTATTTGCAAAGGCATTTCTTGTGAGAAACCTTATGGATGTGTGCAAGTGAAGGAGGTGGGGAAAGGAATAGATTTAAACCAGCAATGTAAGGATACTAATGGTACTTTTGGTATCTGTAAGCAAAAGTTAGTTTTCGAGTTTGGAAAATAAATGCTATTGTCAGTGCTGGGTTGGGTTATTTCTGGACATGATAACAGATATTTCTTCAGAAATTTACACTAAACTAGTAAGAAGTAGTATTGCAATTGACTTGGATTTGGCAAAGAAAACATTTTTATTGGTTACTAGTATTTTTCTACCTAAATGAAAGAAGAAAAAAAATCAAACCAGCAGCTAAATCATAAAAGCTTAAATAAATTAAGGGCACAAGTTAGAGGAGTTAGCTGGTACTGAAAACCTCAGAACGTAGATAAGAGGCTTAGATTTTTTTCATGCAATAAACGCAACATTGTCTGAATTTACCCAAAGTACAATTTAATACCCCTTGCCCATATCTTATTACGTTAAACCTACTATACACTTGGATGGGTTTGTATATTTTTACTCGTATTTTGTGTTTTGTAATTTGTTTTCAAGTTCCATGGACTTTTATCTTTTTGTGTGCACTGTATTGAGCACTTAGCTCTTGATAAATGAGAAATACGTTCTTCTCGCTTGTTCATTTAATTGTGAATTTCAGTTGTCTCAGTGTTAAATGTTTTTGCTTTAGAGAAAAATAAGGTCACTAGGTGAAAATCTATTGGGTTTTTACTAAATAACCCAGCTTCAGGAAAGGTAGCATTGTATCAGTAACAGAATGCATAACCAAAATTAATGAAATTCAACAAAATCTCTTCCCTCCCCGCTCTCCCC